CTTATATAGTAGCCTTTTATATATATAAAAGCTTTATTAGTAATAGTTAGAGTTTAGTTAATATAAGTAACTTTAATTAAGATAAGCCTATACTTTAACTTACCCTAGAGGGGTTATTCTTAAATTATAAATTATACTCAAGAAAGTAAAATATAATATTAACTTTAAATAAAAATAAAAACCCTTTTAAGAATTATTATATTTATTAAATTAAGCTTAATATAAAGTATTAAAAAAATATATTATAAAAAATCTAATAAATAATTAGATTTAATATATTAAAAGTAAAATAAGTATACTAATACTTTTTATACTAAAGAAAAATAGTAATCTTAGATTATATATAAATTATAAAAGATTAAATAAAGTTAAATAAGGTTATAGTTAAAACTTAATTCTTTTTTTTACTAATTAATAGCCTATTAAATGAGTATTTAAAACTATAATAAATTTCTAAAGTTAATACTAAAAATACTTATTATAAAATTAATATTAAAAAGTTAAATTAATAAAAAACTATATTTTATATAAAGTATAAATATTTTAAGTATAATATTATACTATTTAGTTTAATAAATACTTTAATAATATTTTAAGTATATATTTATTAAGTACCTATTAACTTATTAAGTATATATTATATTTTATATATAAATAATATTTTAATATTTTTTAAAACTTAAGAATAATATTAAAAGAATTTAAAGAAAGTTTTATAAAAACTTTATATAATATAACTTTATATAAAGTAATTAAAGTATAAATTTTATAAGTAATATTTTAAATTTTTTAAATATATTATTTCTTTTAAAAGTATAAAAATAAATTAATAATATATAAATTTAGTAAAAAAGAAAAAGTATTAATAACCTTTAAAGATATTTAGGTTTTCTTAGGATTTTATAATTTTTATTAAAAGCTTATATTAAAATATTTTAATATTATAAACCCTTTTATAAAATTATTAAAATAAAATAAAAATAAAAATAAAAAATTAAGTTTTAATAATTAAAATTAATATAAAATATATTTTAAAAGTTAAAAATATCTTTTACTTAATAATTATTTTTTAATACTAAGATCTTATAATACTTATAAAAGTAAAAATAAATATAATTATAAAAGTAATTCTAAGGATCTTAATATAGCTAATTAAAATATAATAATAACTTATAGTTTATTTATTATATAAACTTTTAAATATAAAATAATATTAAGTTATAAATTAATAAGAACTCTTAGTTATTATTAAAAGTTTAAAATATTAAAAATATTATTTAATAAAACTTTTAAAAAAGTTTATTATTTTAATAAATTATATAACTTAAAATTTAATTAATATATTAATATATAATCTTTAAAAGAAGCTTATTTAGTAAATATATTAATTATTAGTATTTTATTTTAATATTAAATATAAATTAAGAGAAATAAATTTTATTAATAACTTATTAAAAAGATTAAATTATATAAAAAGAAAGGTATATTATAAAGATATAATATTTAAATTATAAAAAAAGCTTAAGTTATAAAGAAAGATTCTATAAATTTTATAAGAAAGAATTACTTAATTAAAAAGTAAATTAAAAGTAATAAAAACTTATATTTAGATAATTAAGAAAGCTAAAAAGAATTCTTTTTTTTTTAATAAATAATAACAAGATTATTTTATTTATTTAAAATATATTTATATAATTATAATTATAATAAAAGCTAAAAAATATTAATTAGTACTATAAAGAATATCTTTAAATTAAAACTAAGAAAATTAAATAAAAGTTAAAATTATTATTTTAAAGTAATATATTTTATATTAAGTTATAAAAAAGCTTATAAAAAGTAAAATAATACTTACTATAATATTTCTTATAAGTTTTAAAGTATTAATTTAAAAACTATAAATTAAAGCTTAATTTTATTAAAAAACTATAAAAAAGTATTAAGTAATAACTAAAATATATAAAAGATACTTTATTTATAAAAGCTTACTTTAATTTTAAAATAACATTAGAATTTTTAAAAAAGATATATTATATATAAAGATCTTATATTATTATTATAATAATCTATAAGTAAAGTATATAGAAATATAGTAAATATGAAACTTTATAAAAAGAAAGTTTTAATAAATAAGTATTATAAGTAATATAAAGAAATATATAAAAAAGTATTAAATATATTAAAGTATTTAAGTTATTAGATATAAGCTATATAAGTATTTATAATTACTATAATTATTATTATACTTCTTTTAAAAAATTAATATAATATTTATTTTTAAATTACTATAAAGTTACCAATAAAATAATAAAATATATAATATAATTTTTATTATTATTTATAGAATAATAAAGTATACTTTTTTTATTTTAATATTAAAAATATTATAAACTATAAAATTAGCTATAATACTATATAAATAAATTAAATATAATTTTAAAATACTAAAAAAGATTATTAGTAATTATAATAAGCTACTTATAAATAAATTCTAAGAAAATCTTATATAAAAGAAAAAAACTTATTATTAGTTTCTTATTATATATTACTTATATAAAAATAAATAATTTAAGAAAATATATTAAATACTTAAAAAGTACCTATAAATATATATTAAAAAGTTATTAAAGTAATAAGTAATAATATTAAATATAAAACAATAAAGTAAAATATAATTAAGAGTTAACTTAAGGTTATAGTTTATAGATTCTTTATTATGTTAATATCTCTAAAGTCATAAACTTAATCAATAGTAAGTATACTATTAATAATAAAATGCGTGTCCTTTTGGCGCGTGAGCGCGTGGTACGCGTTCCGCGTTTAGCGCGAATGTACCGGTAACAAGTCGAGACTTGCAAGGGAGGCAAGGACAGCAAGCGAACGTAAATTCTTAGCCTGGCTCACTTGAGTGCTGGCCAGACGAAGTACCTCCGGCACTCCCGCATGTACAGAGCATCTACTGCTGACGACCTGCGCGCCCCCCATGGTCGCGTCCACCGAAGTCTTGGCTGTGCACCACCTCATCTATGAGCAACCTCTCAAACTTGTTGTCGTAAAAGTAGTGCTGCTCCACCCACTAATCTCGTCGTACAAGGGCAATCTAGAGGCGCCGGCGCCTACGAAGAGTGGCGTGTGGCGCCATGCTGTAGGTCTGCTGCTCGCCATGTAGCTATCCTCAACCCAAAAGTGCTGACTCAGACGTGGCTATTCATGCTCGTAGCCTCGTACGAAGCAGTATTGGAACTACCCACCAAGCCTTAATCCTCCATCTCGTCATCGTTCAGAAATCGCGTCTATCAGTATTCCGACCTTTTTTCTAACCCAAAAGCATAAAATGATCATAGCGACAAGTGAGATAAGTAGTAGCAAAGCAAAAAACACTACGGCCGTGGCCGGGGATTTGTTGGTATACCATAACAGCAGCTCCGCCGTGGCTTCTAGTGTAACCACGTAAACCAAAAATAAGGGCACCCAAGACATGATGAAATCCAGTCGCTCATATTGCGTCTCGGCCGGCTGAAACGTGAACTGAAGCAAGATGGTAGCTGCGACCGCGATGATGGCGGTTATCGCGGCACTGGCCAGCAACGCTGCAACTGCGGACAGAAGGCCATCTAGGCCGTCTGCTTGGTACAGGCCCAGGATTGTTAACCCCAGAGATGTAATCACCAACCAGGCGGTAAGGAGGAGAAAGTCGTTGTAGGAACGCACGAATAGCCTGGTAGTGAATGCCGAGTGAGACATTGATTCGTCATGCAACGCGGGGATCGATACTTTTGGGATGAGTCAGCACATGCGTCAAGTTTTTCTGGATAACACTTACGTTGAAACATATGGAGATGGCTGAGGTAAATATGCAAACTGTGTTAGAAGCATCAGTGCAAGAGTCAGGTACATATACCGCGGTGCGAATCCACCAATCGAGGAACGAGGTTGGTTCCGTCAATTTTGTTCTATTTTCTGTCTTGTCATATTTGCTGTTGCGCTGCTTTGTCGGCGGCCAGAACAAGACTGGTAGGATTCAGGACGTCTTCCTCTCCGGCATGTTGACCCGAGCGTCTGCCTCATTACCGTACCCGGGCGTGCAGTACGCCGTGTCTGGATCGGTCGCTTCTGGACAAGACTGACAAGAGCCCAGCGAAAAATGCGCAAGTGCAGTATCGACGGTGAGTTTCTGGTATACTGCGGGCCGGCGACGTATTGGACTCTAGAACCTCTACCACTCTCTACCCACGATTCGAACATTCACATTCAAGGCTAGGCACGGCTGTCCGTTTGGCGTCGCCTTGAACAGTGGCGCGATCATCCCGTCATGGTGCTAGCCTAGATGACAGGAGTATAAATGTGGATGGCCGCGCCCTGGAAGTTTGTGTCTGATTTCGGAACACGAGATTCCTGCTCGACAACATGCAACTTTTACCCACAGCCAAAGAAGTTTTCGGAACAATCACCGGCTTGTACACCGTAGGAGTCATAGGCTTACTGACTCTACTGATACTGAGACCGCTTCTCTTCCTCGGCCTGAAACTGGCATGCCCCAAAATGCTAAGGGTTTGGGAGTTCGAGATATTTATCCGTGCAAGAAGGAAAACGACTGGATGGGCAATGAGGCACATACTATATAGGAATATATTTCGACATGGGAGCAGTCTGAGTATCTACAGCCGAGCGCACGTTATCTGTATCCTAGCTCATCTCTCAATTAACCTTGCCTGTGTTTTCGTAAACATATCGAGCTCTGAGGAGGTGTTTTCAAGAGCCGGGAAGCTGGCGATTGCGAATGCACTTCTGCTCTACCTCGGCCCTTGTCTTGACTTTTCCGCCTCAATCCTACGCATACGTCTCCGTGCCCAAAAGCAACTGCACGCAAGCACAGGCTGTGTAGTGGCATCACTCAGCATACTCCATGCGGCCGGAGCTTTCTCAAAGAATGGCTGGATGGCCATAGAGAAAACGCAGGATCTTCTTGCCGGCTTTGTAAGAGTGTGCTATCTGCTAATATGCATGCTCAAGCTAATTGCATCTGGAAGGCTCTACTAGGTATCTGCACTGTCTTGCTGCCCACGAGCGCCCTTGCCAGACTTTTACCTTATGAGCTGGTTCTTCTCTCACACAACACAGTCGCGCTCTCACTGGGATACATGGTCTGGTCGCACGTGCCGGCCGACCAACAGCTCGTACGGGCGACCCTGTGTGTGCTTGCCGGTATCTTTTTAGTTCTAACTCTTGTACGGGCTATTTCAATAGCGTACAACAACCACTTTTGGTTTCAATCTATCGTGCTGGAACAAAACGGATGTTCTCGCTACGTACGGATTATCGTCAACCTACGAAGGCCGCTCCGCGTGCAGCCAGGGCAATATGTCAAGATATGGACACCAACCACCATTTCATCGGTTTTGCAAAGCCATCCATTCACGATAGGCAACTGCTCCTCTGAAAATGAAAGAGAGTTGAGGATTGTTGTCGAAGTCAAGAACGGATTCACAAGGAATCTAAAGGACCTGGCCGAGCGATGCATGACCTCGAACATTGCCATCTTTGCTGGTCCGTATGGTTCTAGGGTTCCCGTTGGGAATTATGAGACTGTACTGTTAGTAGCTACGGGCTTGGGCTTCGTTGCACTTTCACCCTATCTTCAGTGGTTGGTTCGTGCAGCGCATAACAGCAAGATTCGCATATCACCAGTGCACCTGGTTTGGCAAGTGTCCTCGTGGGGTATGTAATCTCCATTGCTCTGTGGAAAGCGTTCGATTGCGGCACTAAATACATATAGAACAATTTTTCGCAGTGGGGGACCTCCTCGTTCAAAATATCGAACTCGATGACAACAAAGAAGAAAAGAATGTAAGACACGACTTCAAAATAACAATCGACCCACTACTCAGACGCAGTTACAGGACCGAACGTACATCAGAACATCGATATTTTACGAAGAAATAGGCACACCGCCTCATTGGGCAAAACGAAAAATTCATACGATCAAAAAGATGACAAAGAACTGGAATCGGGTTGACTTCCAAGAGCGCCCGATGCCCCTGTCGGATATACTCAGCAACGAGACGATAACAGAGAGGGGCCGAGACGGTAACAAGAAACCCACGCTTATAGCAGGTGAGACGCCAATCTGAAGTCATTGCCAAGTAGAGCTTACGATAAATACAGGATCTGTTTCTGATGATATCAGAGATGATCTCATTCAGTTTGCAACGAAGAATTCAGGAACCATTGATTTGATGTTCACAGATTACCAACCAAAAGATCAAAGTGAACCCATGGAAAATGGTTCTGCCAATTTAGCGACTTGTGACGGTGACAAACACTCGACAAACGCAGATATCTCCCCAGGTAAGCAAACCCCACAGGGTGAGGCAGATATCTCCCCAGGTAAGCAAACCCTACAGGGCGAGGCAGATCTCTCCTCATATGTTGGCCGTTATCAAAGGAGAATCTAGAAGGATCAGAGGCCTAGAGGCTATGGATAAGAGGGGGGATAAACCTAGTACTATAAAGTAGAAGCGTATTCGAAAAAGGTTTCTTGAGACTCAAATACCTAGCTGCGTTGTGAAATGCAACCCGTGCTTCAAGTGTGGCTACAGCCAGATATAGTCACTTAGTCCAGAGCCAAGACGAGAAATTTATTTCTGTAAACCTAAGCTGCTACGCAACCGCCAACCACCAGGCGGCCATAATGACAATGATGATAGGCCTCTACGTGAACCTGGAAGCATTCAGCTCGTCAAGCATCGTATCTATAGTCTACTAATGCAGAGCTACCAAAAGACGATCTCACGACAATTCAGTTGACAGGATCTTCCATGTCCATCACTAGCCAGCGTGTCAGGAATCTTGCCCGCAATTGCAGAAATTCCATCGGTGGGTTGCGGTCATTGTATCTCTTCATAAGTTCATGCTTACCCTTTGGATTAATTCATCTGTAGTCGAGGTAGAGTGGGCACGTACTTGTCTGATCTTCCTCAGTTTCTCACTCGTTGTCAAAACGGCTGATGCATCAATTTCTTTGTCTTGGAGCTTCCGCATCATGTTGAGAAATTCAGGCAAGTGTGGGTCACCCCACCTGCTGAAATCAATATCGTCCTGGAAGCCTTCGCCATCATATCCCCTAAGTAATGTCGCGGTAATACCGTACAAGCCTGAAATGAGATTGTCAGTCTTGCCCTCGCGGCAATGATGCTGACCCCCTGCCTTTCGGTCAATTCTGTACGGAGTAGGAAGTGGATAGGAGATGGCCATACATATCTTGACCTGTCCTGAGGCATCCACAACCACATTCGAGCACGATAACTTAGGATGGTCAATACCTTCTTGGTCTAAGTACTCGAGACCGCTGATAATCTGGAGGTATGAGTGTTAGAATGTCTCCAGGCTGAACAGCACAGGCACTACCGGGCACCAGAAACAAACCTGTCTCAATATACAGACCAACACAGGCTCCTCGAAACCCCGACACATGGCGAATTCTACGAGGGACACACCGAAGGACTCATATGCGATAACAAAACCCGTAGATACTTGATAACCACGAATGAATTTCACAAAGTGCTCGTCATCAATACGTAGAGCAATACGAACTTGGTCTTTGGCGTCCGTGTCGCGAACATCCCATAAAAAGACAACTGGATGATTTTTGTACCGGTAATACGATGTAATTCGGTAGGCCACCATAACAACATTGTCGCCAAATTTGGGTTTTATTCCAAGGTCCACGTGATCTCGGAGTGCAATCCCATCATCCCCAATTTGGTCTGCCAGGCCGACTTCCTTCGCCTGACTAGCTGACCGAGAAGAGTTAGCTGAGGGCTTGGAAGCTGCTTTCGGGATAGTGGGGTGAGCAGGAGCAAATGTAACTTTTTTGGGGTGCTTTGTTGCTTTTGGACTTGTAGTTTCAGAATGTATACTTGAACTTGAATCGGCGGGAGGCTTTCCTCTCGCGTTTCCTTCCTCTCTTGAATCGTGAATAGCTCGCCCAAAAGGCTGTTCGCCAAAAGCCAGTATCTTCCGGAGGTCTTGTGCTGTATGTCTCTTATTTCTAGTATAACCCCCCTTATTATCTAAACCCATTACAAGAATAGGATCGGCGCTGCCCTGAGCCCACAATTGGATGCAGCGTGGTGTACCTGCTTGGATTTATATAAGATCACAGTCCAGTTCTGACTTGTTACTGTCAACTGACAAAAGTCGCACCCAGGAGGAGATTTGATTAGGTAGAAATAGAGATGGAAACGCTATCTTGTTCCAAACAGGCTCGAACAATATTCCGGCCTCTTTGGGATGCCGATGCGGCATGTGTTTATTACTCATGTTCCGTCTGCTCACCTTTATTCCTGCTGTTACCGCAGATCTAAGGAACTGTATCCGATGTCGAACATGGTCACTATTAGTCAGTTACATCAGGAACAGAGAGAACGGTTCCTGGGTACGGCCAGCATTAGACTGGAGGCATTGGATTTCTCCTTAGCTCACGATAAGAAGTTCCCGGGCAGCGAGCCTGATTGGGCCAATGTTGAGAGTCTGGGAGGCCTATTTCTCAATGGGCTGGGTTTCGCGCCGCACCAGATCAGCCATCAAATACCAGCACTCATCGATCAAGCGCAACTCTCTCTGGCACTGGCGAATGCAAATGTTTCGATTGAGACGCTGAGACGAACGGATGTCGAAATAGTAGAACTAGAGTTCACTGCTGGCTCCCCTGTCCGATGTTTGAGAGGGCAGGATCGTGTTCTTGCCGCATTGAGCGTGGCCTCAGATGCCAATAAACGCTGGGTCATCCGCCTCTATGCAGAAAGTATGTCAAACCAAGTCCTCGCCCTTCCACACCAGCGCATTTCTGACGGTACAAGACCTTAGTCCAGAAGCTAGACGCGATTTGATAGATGAAAGGTCACTGGAGAAAGAACCCAGCGACGCAGAGCACTTCTACTGGACTACACGTTTCTGGCTCGAGCACGACACTTCTCTTACCGTTAGTCAGAACAAGTGGCTGGCACAGCTTTCTCGCAAGTCTAAAGGTAAAGCTGCGAGTGTTGGCCGCTTGTGGAACAACCATGCGCCGTACAAGAATATAGTGAGGGAGTTTGAGAAGATACCGGCGCTCTTCTGGGGCACACATCTAGGCAATATAGGAAAGTGGATCGCCATGCCGAGCGAGATGGTATTTAACTGAGTGCCTTCGAACATTCTCCGTGTGCTGACGTAGTCAGAACCTCAATCAAACAAGACGAATTGTTGATTTCTGGCAGCGCGTGTGCGATTTCAACGATAGCATCAAATCGAGATTGTCGATGAAACTACTGGAAGTAGCAAGCGGAAAAGCTCCCGGTGCTGATGTTCAACACAGAGAAAATATCCGGGCAAGAACTAATGAGATCCTGGGCAATTTTGAGGATCAAGAGAGAAAAGAAATCTTGAGACGACTGGAAGACAGTACTAAGGATCGCTTAGTACCCACATTTGATATATTTCTCAGAAATCTAGGTTATCTCAGAGAAGTTCTTAGCTGCTTTTCGCACCTCGTCGGATCGAAAGTGAAACCAGTGGATGTCCGAAACGTTCTTTTACACAATTTTGAGCGACAATCATGGTATCCATTGCAGATCTCAAGTAATGACTGCAGATGGGTGGAGATAGGCGGAATCAACAATTTCAAGGTCGCCGATCTGTTCGACGTGGCTTTCAGACAGCTATGGCTCTTCGCTTTACGGGAGTTTCCATCTATATCGCCGGGCCCGGCCAAAAGCAAAGCAGGGCCACGCTACCACGTCGAAGAGGCCAAAGTGTATCTCTTCGCTCTTCTCGCCCGAAAACTTGGATGTCGTACACCACAAATCGCCGCGATATTGGAACGACCGCCAACAAAGCCGCTTACACCGGAAGTGACTCCCGTGGATACGACAACGGATGCGTCGACATATTCAGATGGTAAGCCTAAGTACCTTGAACACCAAAAGTATAAGCATTCGCTTTTTTTAGCGAACCTCCATACGCCTTTCAACGCACAGCATCGTGGATCAAAATTCTTCTTTAGTCAGCGGTCACTGTACTTTGACAATTTTGGCGATACCTCTGAGTTTGTTGATCAGTTTCTATCTGCTGCCGCCTTTTCAAACATAGCGGAATTGATGGACGGCATTTCCCAACAACAAGAGCAGGGGGATACCATGAGAACAGACATCCAGGAATTGGCAAAGACCAAAGCCTCGCTAGAGGAAGAAATTGGCTCGCTGCAGAGCAGCCTCAGTTCAAACAGTCAGAATCTTCAAGCTCGAGGCGCTCAATTGGCTGGGATGAATCAGCAAATATTGCAAAAACAACAGGAGATTCATAATCTTGACAATGATATTGCGATCAGAAGCCAAATGAAGTCAAGCAAGATGAACGACCTGAACTCACTCAATGATGCGATTAGTCGGAAGGAGAAGGATTTAGCAAGTATCACGGACAAGACAAACAAGGAGCGAGAGGAGGCTCAGCAGACTACAGAGGCCGAAAAAGCTAAATTACACGATCGGGAAGATGAGAAGAACAAGCTAAAGAAAAAGATTGACAAATTGGTATGTTCGTCAACTTACATATAGCCGGTAACTAACCAAGCAAAGAGATCACTGAAAACGACGCTTAATGACGAAGTAACACAGCTCGATAACGAGAAAACTGAACTTCAGAACAACATTGCTGTGTTGAAAATCGATTCCCAAACCTCGGTGTGTGCCGCCAATCCGTACGAACACAGACATTGATCAGATGTTGACCACAGTGAAGCAATCGAATATATCTGAGCTGAAGGAAGCAAAGAATGGCTTGGAAACAGAAATCCCTGCCTTGAGGAAAGAAGCCGGGGAACTGGTGAGTTCAGTGAATCCATACGTAAATACGCCTTGACCAAATGTTGACCACAGTGAAGCAATCGAATATATCTGAGCTGAAGGAAGCAAAGAATGGCTTGGAAACAGAAATCCCTGCCTTGAGGAAAGAAGCCGAGGAACTGGTGAGTTCAAATAGGAAACCGACTGACTGCCGAGCGATAGTTGGAGGCAATGACTAACCTATCCCAGAACTGTATTTATGATGATAAAACAGGTGGGAAAACCGACTGTCTTACTGAGTACAAGGTGTTCATAGTCACGATTGGCGAATTCTACAGACTCCTTCTCATGAGCGAAAAGGAGCTGACTGCTTTTTTGGGACATTATACCGCCAATAACTACCTGATTAAGGACGAAAAAGGACAAATTATGTATTACTCGGATTGCTTTGATATTCTTCGCCGTCAGCCTCCAAAAGAGCGTATAATCCAGCTTCATCACTCGGTAAAGAGAGACGGGAGCGGTGATATAAAACATCGTCCCAAGGCAAAACCTCATCGCAGACAGGACGTCTCAGATTCTTCCTCGAGTAGCCAGGACGTCCCAGGTGCTTCTTCGAGTACACAGGAAATCCCAGATTCTTCTTCGAGTACACAGGATATCCCAGATTCTTCGAATAAAACGAAACGTCAAAGGGGGGGACCTGAACGTCACGATGGAGATGCAACCGAGTGAAAGGACAAAAAGAAAAGACGAAGATGGAGAAGAAAATAAAGACCAAAGAAAGAAAGCAGTGGAGAAACTAAAACAAGAGATATCTATATTTTGAAGAAATTTCGATAAACTGAAATTATGAAGGAGACATGCAGACACGACTGTGAAGGGGCGATGATGCATGAACAAGCTACTCCGTTAGTTCTTTGTAGGGCTGAATACGCTTTATGACGTCAGTGGTTGAAAACTGGTCAAACATTACAAAGAGCTTGGACAATACTTAGTGAAACGAGTGATTTCTAGATATATACCAGCGTGCGTAGTCCAGGTCACAAAGTGTGTCAGTGCGTATGGACTGGTATTTGTTGAATCCCAGTTCACTTGTTCTAGCGCAAGACACAAGCTAGCATTGATGGACTAGCCCTGGTTACATGCTGGTACAAATGCTCTAGTCCAGCGGCTGTGCTGGTGCACCTGTGCCGGTGTATTTGGGCTAGAGTAGACTAGAAGTAGTGCATGCGGCCTAGCCTCGATGCACCAGCACATGTGTACCAGTACATGCACTGCAGTACCCCTATCCTGGCTTGAGCGGATGCTAACGCATGCGTGCTAGCACAGCTTGTGTACTGGCACACATGCCTCAGCACACAACTCATGCTAGGCTGTCCGTACCAGTTCCCATTTCGCCCCAGCACGAGTGGGTCAGGACATTTTTTCCACCAGTCCGTTTGTGCCATCACGGCCTGGAGTTGACCAGGATATTCGCTGCAACGACATTTCCCACGGTACGGAAGACCAATAGAGCCCATGTGGGTGCAGTAGCATGGACGACAGCGACACACCGCAGTCTTTCGGCCTTCCGTAGCAACGCGCCACGATGCGCGACGGTTCATCACCAGCCACCAGCTCAGCTGCGCACATGTTCCAGACAGAGCACACATAATCCCTACATTCTGGTAGCCATGGGCATCACGCGTTTCGCGTTGAAACCAAGAAAGGGCGACGAGAGGGATACAAACGCGAAAACACGACAATCCATTACGTCTAGCTAACAACGTAGGCCCGTGACCTTTGTTCTCTATGTTCTTTCTCCAACGCTTTCTCAGCCAAAGGACCGAAGACAGAACAGCCTGTCGGACAACAATATTCTATCAAATGTGGCATCTGGCACCAAAAGGCATCCCGGCTGGTAACGACCCCTGGTCTTACGCGCTGCCTGTGGAAAAAAGCGCGCCACAGAACTGTCTCCAACACCGATTTTGGACACGTTAGGCGGGATGGAATACGTCGACCTACCCGCGTCCACATATGGCCGTATTTAGAGAGAACACCAAAGCCTGCGCATATAGTAAACACAGACGATGGGGCAGGACCACGACAAGCTGCATGAAATAGGCTTCCAAGCTGGCATAATACCGCAGCCTATGAAGAAATGCGACATCGATAAACGCGTCAAGGCATGAAGTCTGACAACGAGGCATCAAAAGAAGATCGCGGACGTATGTAAGAGCTGCAATGGACATTCTAGAACATTATCAAAGGCTTGTAAAAAAGAATTGGCGGGCCAGTCTTTAGAAGTGGTTCCACCAAGTCAGACAGGCTAGTTCGGAGAAGTCATGCATTTTGAGGAGCAGCTCCACTTCCACTTCCCACCCATGCATGGCCTTACATCGTAGTGACGCCGTGATCGATACGTAATCGATAAGACGTGATTTTCGCTGAGGAATCGGAGCCGCTCTCCACAGTCAGCGACCGGCAGTCCTGCTAGTACCTGGTAGGAAGGTGGCCGAGTGTATTTCTATTGCCTTGGTTAGGTCGATGCCGACAGTTTGGTTCGCGCTAAATTCGGACGAATACAAACAATTCCGTCTCCATATATTTGTGTAGCCGCCATCTCTTGGTCTGCGCAAGGGCCTTCCCATTCGTCCTTTGTGAAGTGACGAGATGGCATGTTCGAAGTAATCGGTCCCCCTGCTTGCATACAGTACTAGAATGAACTCATCCTTCGCAACGCGCGTCAATCGAAACTCTGTATGAATGCTGTGTCAAGGAAAGCTGTGCTCTCTGATGCCAGGGCTGAAAGACAAGCTAATGGCAGGGAAATGACCGCCATAGACGATCTCTGCACCCGGCGTGTTCCCGCCACTACTCATGTCTCGACGAAACCAATACTGGATGTTGCCGTCATCGTCGAAGAATGATTCATAGTTAAAAATCGTGTTTGCTCTTTGATCTTTGCAATAAAGCTGGGCCTGGTGCTCGTGGTCAAGACCCCGTCGATATTTTTGACGTCGACGTTGAAGCCATTGCTGTTCTTTTGGGACGAAACTGAGTACAGCGCACACTGATCACTTTGAGCAAACCCAGTTCTAGCACCCTGCCGCTCTATAACATCACCAGCATGAGAGCTCGATGTGGTGAGGCAAGCACAACTCAAAGACTCTACTACGAGTTTCTAGTGCGAGGACAAGAGCCGGTTTAGTTTCCACCCAAGAAGAGACGGGCCACCCGGCACCACAATGCAGAGCAGAAGTTTATCACGAAAAACGAGTAAGCTATTAGGAGTGGGAAAGAGGTAGTGAGAAGCTGGGGAACAGAGGACAGCGAGGATGAGCTATAGAGTTGAAGGTGTTTTCAGGAGCGAAGAACTCATGCATGGTGATGGTCTTTTCAAACTCTTTATTCCCATCAGCCTTTTGATCCTGACCGTTCCTTTGGCCCATATCGTCCTTTTCGTTCCACATTGTCCTTTTCGTTACCCGCGGTTCCCCTCCGCCTCTCTCCATCCACTAGCCGTCTTCATCCTTTCTATCCCTTTTATTTTCTTCGCGGGTTTGTCACTCTTCACATTCTTCGTACTGTTCACCCTCCGTTGTAAATAGATCATTCATAGATACGATCCGCAGAACAGATTCAAGAAAAAAAGCGTGTGACGTCTGTCTATGGTAGGATATGACCCACAATACGTGAACACCAAAAACAGAATATGCGTTTTCCCTCCTGCTTAGTCACACGAGACCGCAGTCTGGCGGCCCATAGAGGCACAGTTAGCTGAGACGGTCCTTCTCCCACGAAAAAACAACTGGCGTTCCAGACACCATCTCCACCAACACTTTCCCTGCAACCAATATATTTTTCATATATCCATTATTCAGGAGGTTAGGGAACGCCTTCATGGATGCAGTGCGCCTTTCTAGGCTGAGCTCTATCCATTCCTCCTTCTTGATCCCAAAAGCGTTATTTGAATCCAGGGGGATGAAGGCCAACAGCCCAACAGATTCACACAGCTTGGACCACTGCTTCCCATCACGAAGATGGCGCTTGACTTCCTCTTTTGTCATATTCTTGCGCGACGCAAGATCGTGAAGAAACTTGAGATCAGCGCGTTGTTGTATAGGCCCTTTAGCCTTCTCAACTTCCTCGGCAAGTCTGATCTGCCAAGTCGAAGACAAAACTTGTGTAGCCTGGTTGTCCCCACATAGTTCCTTACCGACGCCATCACATTATCGAGTGCTGATCCAGTAGAGTCTATAGAGAGGGTTGCTCGCGACTGCTGCTCCCTCCAATGATAGACAAGTTGCTGGAACTGTTGTATTGCCATGGTACTTTGAACTGAAGCCACTAGTTTGTAAACCCCCACCTCTACTCCAGTCAGGCTTCTGGGGTCTATATTTGGAGGATGATACTGCAGGCCTTCGAGCATGCACTTCACTTCTTCTAGTTCTCGTTGGGGAGCGGTTCCTGTACGAGTGGCCTTTCTCGGAGGGGCTCCCAAAGACCCTTGGTTAGTCTGACGTTTGCGCTTGGGCTTTATCCCAGTTGATGATGCTCGCCTGGACTCAGATTGAGGCGGCGGAACGACAGGGGCACCGCTCTCTTTGCCCGGCTTGAACATGACGCAATCAGGACACCGGACGGCCTTTGCAATATCACGTTCATCTTCCGGGTGTGAGAAGTTAATTGATCGGGCGGCAGAGTAACCGAGGTTGACAATTTGATGCTGCTGCACAGATGCAGTCCAGAAGGCTTCGCCACGACCGACGACTGCAATAATAAAGTCGATGTCTTTCTTGTCGAGGAGCGAAAGGAGCAAACAGAAGGCACTTGTGCCTAACTCCTTGGTTGCATTCGTTGCATTTCCACATTGATCTAACAAACTGATCAAACTCCGCAATGTGGTGTTTTGCAACGACTAGCCATAACTTATATCCCGTCCCAAAATACAACTCGTTGTAAGATCGAAGACCGTGATATAGCGGCCCTTCGTTAGTTTCTTCAACTGAAGTCATATCTTCGCAGTGACAACAGTGCCCGAAAGAATTGCTGCCGGTATGGTTGTATGGTGTATGCAGGTCTTGGAAGGCAGGATTGTTCTTAATACCGGACCCGGGGTCTAGCGCGCGTGGGAATAGCCATCTGCGTGGCAGCTGGAGGAGAGGGAAGGGAGCGTTAACGGTCTTGATGGCGCTGTTTGTATACATTGTGAAGCTACGTTCAAATTCCATTTTATGATAGTAAAGGAGGGATTATGAGCTATTTATGCACGTTTGATGCCTCCTGAACAAATCTGAATAGGAATGGGCGGCTTGATGTGCTGACCCACATATCTGTAGTCGGCGCATATCAGAAGACGGAGGTGTGGGGCATCGGCGCCGATGGCCCCATATATATGCGGAATGGTCTGAAGGTAGTTCAGCCTCGATGTCCTCTCCCTGATACACCTCTTGCTTCCTTGGGGTATCGGAAAGATCAATATGGACTGATTGACTTGCGGAGGTAATGGAGGCCATATAGGGCTTAGGAGCAGACAAGGCTCTTGCGAACATGAACCCTTTGATCCAGCTTGCTAAACGGAAGTCTGAATCCCTTCCATTCTCGAAACCTTCGCAATATCCTGATGCTGTAGCTGCATCCATTTTTAGGTAGTTTGATGAAGGTATGAGGAAAAGAATTGGAATACGTGGGTGCCATCGACCCCTTGAGTATTCCATCCAGACACTCCTATGGTGGAAGTATCAACAATGGGGTCGTGGAGAAAGCCCATTACGTATAAGAAGACATGAAACTGTGGAAAAAGGCACATGATGCGATTTTCACGGGCGGTTGGCGATGTGTAGATGATGTTATTGGCGAAGATGGATCGTTGCATGACCGTGTTGGCTTTGACTACTGCGCGGAGCACCAACATTGTGATAGGATTGGATAGAAGGAGAGCACTTGGTCGAAAAGGTGGCCAACGGAACGCCTATCTGCCTTGGAAGGTGGTCTCTGCGGTCTTGGTTGTTACCATCATGACACTTGTATGAGTTGGTCGCGTGGATATGAGTCACTCAAGGGCTATGTAGGCCTCAGACAGTCAACAACATGTGCTACGATGAGCAAGACTGTCAATCCAAGTACTTATGCCTCGCTTCCCTCCCGTCCTTCACCCTCATCTTCAACCTTCTTCATCACATTCCTCTTGTATTGAGTTCCTCTATCCATCTCTTATTCTATAACCCGTCTCGGACAAACAACCTAGCATGTCACCGGTTAGCTGTTCCCGTTGCTCTCAACCTCTTCTTGACGTATATGAATTGCAATCGCATATCAACAAGGTACGCTATTCAATATAGTCCACCTACTCTGTTCCCTGGCTCAAACTTCTCAGTTACTGTGCAACAACTGCAACCTCAAAGAGGACGATTCATCAACCGGCTTACGCATGGGTCAAATTCCTATCTGGAATAACAAGGATGCTCCGCTATATCAGGTCATAGGTTAGGCATCTTGTGAATGACCCCTGAATAATCGGTCGGTCCGTACAAATGGTCACTACCTGAGCAGTCGTCATGATAGGCATGTTGTGAAGGATGCCCTAGCTGTCAGAGTTGTCGAAGTGAGGAGATTCAGGAGGTCGGAAGCAAAGGTGAAAATTCGCTGGGAGGACTCATGGAGACCAATGAACTGGGTGGACACGCAAAGGGAAGCTAAGACTGTTCAGCTGAAGGGATACGTTCAGAAAATTCGCTGGAAAGATACTTGGGAGCCACACATGGATGATGGGAAGTTTAAAGAGAAGACATGCATGCTACTCGAGGATAAGTATGGCGCGTAAACAAGAGAGTATTCCTAGTTATTAGCAAATCTCATGTTCTATATTCTTCTCAGCTTGCTTAGCCTGCTGCGTACCGAAGTGCTGATATTGACGCAACAATACCTGCGATCGTCTTCGCGTGCTAGATGATCACTAGGGGGGTTAATTGGCTACTTAATGACGCCGAGAAGGTAAAACTGCCAACCCTAGTTAATCTAGACTAATGTTGTGCTTCTGAGCACATGATAACTACCCTTTACTGTATAATAAGAACCAATCCTGAAGTTTGTGCCATCTCCCGCGCCATGACGCTGTGGAGATGCGACGGGGCTGTGCAAACATCTCATCAATATATATAAGACTTAATTATCTCCCGCTCATCTGTTCAACCCTCTTCTCAACTGTTACTATCTACCATGTCTTTAGAAAGATTTGAATTCGACCGCAGGAGTATCGGTGCCTGGATCAAGTATGAACTTGACGATCCGAGAGGATACGGTTCTGAATGCTTTATGAAGCTCGACCAGAACATCTTCCCATTCTACGACTTCACTGTGGAAGAACCCACAGGAACTCCAATCTTTAAACCCCGTCAAGGATGCCTCATTCGAGTCACACCGCTATCTGCGGCAGCATATCTGGGAGATGAGGATGCTGTCAGGCGTCTGTCTCAATTCCCTGATCCTCATGAAGCCAATGAGTTGATTAGTCCCCTAGCTCTTGCTTATCTTCAAGGCCACTCTCGGGCTATTGAACTTCTTGCTGAGAGGGACGAAACCCGAAATACCTTGAATACGGCGCATATAGCTGCGAGAACGGGTCAGAGCCATTATATTCGCTATCTCTATCGGAAATTTCATTCTTTGCAGGGCGCCTGCGATGTGCATTCGATCCCACCTGCCGTCCATGCCCTCTATCTACATAACGATGAACAGATCAAAGAGGTTCTCTCAGCGCTTATTTATCTGGATGAGGATGCGTTAGATACTGTGGGCATATGGCAGCATCATTGGACATGTGCTGATCTTGCCAGGGCGATGGGGAAAAGCGGTGATCTGGTGGATTGGCTGGAAGACAAATGCCGGTCTATTACGAGCTAAGATCATCATTACTCTGAGTACATAGCCTAAATCTACAGACATTCGACTCTGGGATTCTTATTCTGCGTGTCACGGTGACTATTAAACGTCCTCAACCCATCGCGTGATGCTCATTTCCTCATCTGATCCTTACTATAGAGCGTAGATGTGATGTGCCTACCGGCCAGTTTCTTCACACGCCGCTCGTTACCTTGTCCAATCAGTGAGCCAGTGAACCTGAATACGGGCCGGCCCATCATACTGGCTACCTAAATGACGGCCTGCATGTGGTTGACGAGGTATCGGATATACTGACAGGGGTGTCGCTCTGATGTTGTTGGGCATGTCTTTTGACGCTGGCAAGGCATTTTACTCTTCTCAGGCCCCCTCATCACACATTGCTAAGTGCTACATCCGTAATCTGCCTTAGCCTATGTCTTTTATAAACAGCCAGTGAGTTTGGTCATTCAGAAGCATGGCCTGATGTTGTTGTTGGTCTCCCGTATTAATAGCACTCGGGTAACATTTCAGCCGGCCATGCAAAATCTCCCTATTGCCAGCCCTATGCTAGCGAAGTATCTCTGCAGGCCAAGCCTGACACGGAAAACGCCGTTTCCCACCACTGACACCTTACTCATCCCAGAGCCCATGAATCCTTTCGCGGTCAGCGTGTCAAGCTTGCCGTCCAGAGTGCCTTAGGTCCTGACTCGTCGAACTATTCTCAAGTTGGCCAAGCAACATTGCCAAGTTCTGGGCCCGTGGAAGACGGTCCTGTCGTCTTTCCCATGGAGGTAAATGACGCATCTTCTGACAGAACTACGAGTGTTGCCCTTGCTGGAAATTGTCGCTTCAATGTGTCCAACTCGTATGCCCCGGGTGCGGCGCTACAATACAACCCGACGAATGCCAAAAGTGACAGCGTCAAGGATGACAGCAGCGTCATTAAAAGCTCTCGAATTTCTACTGCGTGTGGACTAGGAATGTTGGATGGTGGCGAGGATGCGAGGATGTTGAAGTTATTAAAATACAAGCTCTGCATCTGATATGAGCCCGTAGTTAAACTTATGGACCCGTCTAGCCGTCCATGATGCCACCGACAAGGGCAGTATGCTAGCCTTGCTCTGCTACATGCATGGATAAGCGTACCTTACTGTCAGGGATTCAGGGGTCTTTCTGTTGTCAAGGCTGAGATGATTCGCCAAACCCCTTTTTTGTCAGCGAGCTTGGCACGGCCTGACGCGACGCGAATTGAGGCCGCGTCGAGCCGTTGGATGACGAATGTCAAAGCGCAGGGGTGTCTTCAGCCTGATGATGATATATTGTATATAAGCTTCACCTTGCGTTCACGTAGCCTTTTCCTACAATGAAACTGTCGACCTACAAAGGCACTATATTTGCCAACTCAGGAACCTCGTTTGGATCTCGCCCCAGGGCAGCCTGTTTTTGAACAATGCGTCGCCTCAGTTGCACACGGCTTACAATGGAAAGCCACCATGGCTATGTGAAGACACTAGACGATGCTATTCTACTGTTGGAAGCCTGCGAAGTCAACTCTATACCCTATTTGCCAAGAAAACTTGAAAAACATGACTTTATCGAATACATCAGGCCTGGTTCTGTTTTCATCTGGAATCAGCGGGACGTTCGCGTGAAACATTGGGTTGACGGGAGGTCGTGGAAGTTTTGTGGTCCATGTGGAGACTTCCTAGTATATAAAGAACTCGAGAGCGATGGAAGTCAAGGCTCCTATGCTGACCGACAAGTCGATGGCATCGCTCCAGACTCTGGCTCGAATATTAGTGGGGCCCAAGATGTCGGAAAGTTCAAGCCGAAACAACTCAAAAATTACGGTCTTGTGAAGCAGAAGTTGTGTGTTGTCACATCCAAAGGCCTAACAATTTCCCTCATCTCGTACCGCTCCAGCTCCCCGGATGACATATCAAAAGCTTCAGCGACCGACGAATGACCCTCGATTGCAAGAGATTACTATAGATAACACTCTTCGCTCCAAATTCAACTTGTTAGAAGCCGGTGCCACTCCTACTCCGACAGATCGAGAACCGAAGCCTCTTCTCGTCGCTCCTCACGCCGCCAACGATCAGTATGGATACAAAAGACCTTGCACTGGGATCACTTCCCCCTACGAGCCTTACATATGTCACCGCGCCCACGTCGCTCCTCAGAACTACCAGTCCAGTGCTAGCGATCTCGGCCCACCTCGCCCAAACTACAACGACGCACCTGTTCATGCACAGTCTTTGTCATTTCATGCTGCGATGGCCGATCTTCACGCAAGAGGCATGATTACCATGGCTGATGAGTCCCTTCATATCCGACATCGTATGCCTGTCGCCCAGAATACCACCTCAGGCCACACTTTGTCAAACTGTTCTAAAGTGGACCAAGTAACATTGCCAATAGTTGGCCCCACGAGCAACGCTCCTATCGACTTCCCCGTGCAGGCTGGTATCGAATCTCCTGGTTTGAGCCCTGCCTTTCCTGGAAGCCCCCGGTCCAATGTATCAATACATGACAGTAACGTCGCGGGTGGCTCTCGAGCGCTTACGCTTTCCACAGCTCAGGAGTCCTCCTACGAGTAGTATCTTAGGGCGGTTGCCCAGAGCGCCATCGACCAGCTTCGATACAAGTCCCCTTGCGCTTGATAAGCAGTACTACTGAATCGCTATTCTTTGATCAACTGCCTCTGTGGTTCTCTGCGACGATTGAACATGTACTGGTTGACATGAGTATTATCCACTTTCAAAACTTGCTCCTTGGTGCTTCTGGGCATTACGAGTAACATTCCAAACAGTAATAGCAACTTTCCGGGGTTAACGAAGACCAGTTTTGGAAGGATTCGGGCTGGAGTGGGCGCTTGCACGGGGGACCGTATCGTAAAAGGGGTTTTGTTTCTACACTGAATAGATCGAGTTCTTTTACCGCAAGATTCAATGAATAAATACATAGTCTTTTACATCATGCTAGCATTATTATTCCTAAGCTTCCGCGATACCCTTTCAGGGAGCCTTTCTGCCCCGAGGCGTAACCAAGCTTCCGATTGTCTGTTTCTTCGCATCATGCGGCCGCAATACATTGTGAAACGTAGAGAAGATACATGTGAAGTTGACGTGTAGGTGTCTGATAGTAAGGCCAAACCAACATATCGCTTGGCCAGCCAGCCGTTGGCTAGAAAGCCACGCCAGGACGCCGGATGTGTCTGATTTCGGCCATCACCTTCGTCTCACTTTAGTCATCCGGACATTGCAGTATCGTGTAAGATTGGAAAGGAAAGCTGGCTACTTACCCCAATCTCATGCTAATGTCCAATAGAACAGAATGCCTACACTAAAGTAAATACCCTACACAACTAATCACTGATGACACTGCTGCGGTAACTACCTGCCATTGACGTATGATGGAATAATGCCATGATGACCTCCAACGTCTACTTGTTCATACGTCCTCTATTTAAAATTCTTCCCAGTGATATTATAGTGTTCTATTTACTAATCAGCATATCTATAGCGGCGGTAGAACTTTCGGTATCGACCACTTTCATGCCATCAAGCTCTGTACTCCCAACACTATATCTGGGTTTTCCTATCAACCTGTCTTGACATGACGTGAATCCCCTCGAGACCTAACCTGTGCCAAAACAGATGCTAAATGGCCGCCACCAGTATGTTAACGTGCCATTAAACAGCATCTTATCTAGGCCCACAAGCTTCGGGTAGATTCGATGTTTGGGACCTCCACCAAAACCCCACCTCCTGCTATGACGGCGAGACGAATCCGGGTGATGTGGTGGACTTGTTGGATGCTCTCCTTCGACTGAACGTGAACCACCTCTGCGCGAAATGCCGATGCTGCATCTGAGCCGCCATAAGTCCCGAAGTCCGTGTGCGGGCGCTGATGCTGATATCCATGCAGGGTCGGAGGCGTGCTGAGGCTTGTGTCAGGCATTCCGCACTATAACTAGTCCGCATCATATCTGCCTGATCATAAAGATATTTCCACCACTCTCCCATGTTGACTTGTTCCAGACGATTTCTTGGAAGGCTGCCATGGGCACTGATGTTATTTACCCTCTAGAAAGGTGCTCTCGCGACCCGTCCATCGTTCAACATTTCACCCCGATAACGCCGATTTTGCCAAGCAAATATCCACCGAGAAGCGTTGACTTGGCTGACTTCGCTTGGTCGAAGCAGCGATCGTTCGCTTGCCATTCGTCGTGTCTGGCTTCCACGTTCACTTGTTCGGCACCCGTTGCGCCAACGGAGGCCGAGGTGGGCTGAGTAGCACAGCCCGTTCAAGGTTGATCATCATAACCAACCCTGTCTTAACTGATGAGTCAAGTTGACTTAGCAGGAGAGTTTTGAACCATTTATCCCCTTTGCAATTTCCTCTCAACTTCTTTCGTCATAGGTATCACCATATTGTAAAACAGGTCAGCTGGTTCCAAACATCCTTACACATCTCATTTCATTGATAGTAGCTTAATCCACGACAATGCCCCTATACCCTCTTTATTTTACCACGCCGGATTGCCCCTCTGTTTACCTCCCTTACGGAGTAAATGATGACCAGCCTTTCGATCCCTTTGACGCCCACCTTTCCCGACAGCATGGCCCGGATCACTCTCGACAACGCTTTCATCAGGCAACACTCGCCCCGTTTTGCCTCGCTACAGCCCAAAATAAGATTGAGATCATTCGCTTCATGAACCATTTCTACAATCCAGATGTACAGAGGGACTTGCAACTTGCCCTATTCTCAGCCAATCTTCAAGGGCTCGAGGAAATAGCTTCTTCGCTCTTGTCTTATGGCGCCAAATCGGGGCAGGGATCTTCTGCCAATGGTTTACACAGTGCTGCCTGGTCCGGGCTTACAGGCAATATATCTAAGTATGTCAACGCGTATTGCGCCAGTCCTGATGTTACTGATGGATCATCTGCGACGCCAATTATCTATGCTATAATTGGGAAACAGGATGAAGGACGCGCTTGACTGACTATCCATTTTCTTATCACTCTGGGAGCCAATCTATTGCTTAGATTGGGCAGCGAGGAATCAAGTTCTACGCCAGCAGGGGACAATGATATTGACTGCAAGAGATCGAGACAAGGTCCAGAAGCTGATGGAAGGGCTAATCTACTCTTTGAGGCTTGCCACACGGAAGCGAGAGTCAATGACCAGACGAACAACAAGCGACCAAGAGAAGATCCGGAAGTCGTTGGGAGAGTCAAACGAGCGCGTGAAGGGCGAATGTATGTAATTGAGCGGCACATTAATGTATCATACGTAGGACAGTTCAATTATCATTCTCGTTTCTCAGCATTCCATCATTCCGATGTTTGTTACAATTTGTCTGATTTCCGTAGATTCTTAGGCGCACTTGGTATTATGTAACATCAACCAGATATGGCTCTTAAATTTAAGCTTCATAGACCGACCTAGATCTTATCTATATCTTATCAATCTGTGAGGGATCATCATGTAAGGGAAGTTAACGGTGAGACTCGGACGCCGAGCCATATTCTGCCAGCTGTCACCGCCTGATAAAAATCATACTCTGCCGGTTCCGACCGCCTGCATAGGTAAGGGATGACGTTCCTCAGGAGCTCCGGTTGTTAGTCCTCTCCAAACCGCGACCGTCATGAACCCTCCACGCAAATTACAGCTCGAAGACGGCAGCTGAATCACATACACAGATGCAAAAAACCTCGACAAGGATATCGTTACCAACCTAGAATATGCCAAATCTCGCAAGAAACTCTACGACAGTCTCGATCAGCAAAAAGACACAATTCGTTCTCTGGTCAGGCACCATCTACACTTAGGCGACAACGCGGAATGCACAGTCCTTCCCCAGGAGCAATAGATCAAGGGAAGCTCCAATGTCTGCATTCCTCTCAGGGCAATGTCGGGTTCTACTCATCCCGATTTGATGTTACGCTGCTGTCTACCATACAAGCTTGCCGAGGCTCAGTACCCAGGTACCATAGACGAGAAATTGAGGTGCGAAGTCGGAACTTATGCATGGATGCAGCAATATTGCACAGATATTCGCATTCCTTATCTACACATCACTAGCTACCGCGTATCGCAAGGATCTCTTGAAAAAGTGAGATTATAAGAGCTTAATGGACTTAAAACATATTTTTTACAAGCTATATCTACTTGCTAAAGCTTAGACTAGTCTCAGAGATGTTTATTTAATATATATAAGTGTAAGTAAGACCAGAATCTTGCTATTCTTTATTTGTTACTGATAGTGTGAGTAATACTTGATTCTAATTGGATAATCGATGGTTCGCAAACCTCCAGAAAATGAGGTTTGTATCCAAAAGTAGAGGTTATAACCCCAGAAAGCTGAGGCACTGTAACAGAAAATAAGAACTGGACGGGAGGCATATGAGAGATGCTCAGGACAATATTCCATGATGGACACGCCGGGCTAACACGCGCCGGCTTCCGACCTGCCCAACATGCCCTCAGAACATCGTCTGAGGTCAAAACGAAGAGCGTGTCTTTCTCGGACAGTATCGACCGTACAACCCTCCCAGCTGTCCAACACTTGTAACCTGCTTAATACGTTGCGTCATGCGTATTGTGCACGAGTAAACCTCCGCTCCTGGTGATGGGGGAAACTCAAAGATCAGTAGAGACTAGTCTAGGCCAGCCACGAAGATAGCGACCTTTGCAGGGCAGTCAAAGGCTTTGATGCTCCTACTGCAGCCTACAATGGCCCCAACTGACGATGTCTTCCAGCTCGATGCTTCTCGACGTCGACCACCAGATCGCCCTTGACACGCCGCCTATCGCATAAGGGGCTTCTTTCGGCTTCCGTACTGAGGAACACGATCCAACATGCTTGCCCAACACGAATGAGACGCTGCTGAAGGAGATTGATCGATGGATCGATGACCCGATATCAAAAACAACATTCTGGTACTGGCTCATCGACATGGTAGGGAGTGGGAAGCCGACCATCTCACGAGCAATTGCGCGATCACGATGCGAGCAGGATGATCTGGATGCTAGTTTCTTCTTCGAGGCAGGAGAGACCGGAAGGAGCAGCTGGCTACGTTCGTGCCTACGGTGGCCCACAGACCAGAAAGCCGGATTAGAGCTCTTTTCGCTCCCTTACGCGTATTGCGACCCGTTAAAGCCATCAGACTGGGGTCCACCATGGACATCAAGGCCGGTGTTACACTGCGGCTCCTCGAGACGTCCGCTTTTGGCCATAATCAGAGGTTGACTTGGACAGGTTGAGGTAAAAGCCATCCTCATGCCGCATCCATGTTCCTCGTTTGTTGAGAACCCGAATTGCCACAAATGGCGCATGAAAGCGCATCTGACTCTAGCAACTCGTCGAGAAAGCGGGTGCCTCAGGGAAGGAGGAAAAAGAGAAGCAAGCCATCCTTGACGCCACAATCAACCATAGACAACATCTGGAAGTGCTTCTCCAGTCTGCGCCCTTTACAAGCTCTGTCAGTCCTCCCGTCAGACCCGCCAACAAGGCCTTCCTCGGATGGCAGCCATCGCAGCGAACTCCTCTCGAAAGAGCGTTTGCACGTAGTGACGGAGTGTCGGGAAAAGGTGAGCGAGATCATCAGAGAATGTCGGCAACTGAACATGAGATATAGAGACCGTGACTGGGACCTGGTGAGTCTACAGAATCTTCTCTCGATGCGAGATCCGTTCCCAGTGATTGATTCGCAAACACAGGCATTTGATCTTGCAGATAAAGGCCATTGCTTAAATGGCCTTCGGAACACCGTATTTGACCTCGGTGAGATCTCCCACCTCGACGCAGGAAGCAACTCGCCGGGCGCCGTCAGAAGAGTGCATGAAATCTTCCCTTGCCCTACCTTCATGAGGAAGGTGGATGGGAAAGACGTAAAGCAGGGGAAGCTCAGCAATTGCTGGTTCGTCGCAGGCTTGACGGCTCTTGCGAACATCGAGGACCGGCTAAGCCAGACGTGTGCTGCATATGACACAGGTATGTATCGTCGCGCGCCGTCCTCTGGAGGCACACACACTGAAAATTGGTCACAGAAATTGGTGTCTACGGTTTTGTCTTCTACCACGATGGTGCGTGGACCTACACTATTATCGATGACACACTCTACCTTCAAGCGCCCTGCTGGGACTCACCAAGCATCCAAAGAACGCTGCTGCAACAAACTGGGCGCGTCGATGCGGAGGACGAATTCAAGCAAACCCACCAGACCGGGTCGAAGGCCCTCTTCTTTGGCCAGTGTACAGACCAGAACGAAACCTGGGTGCCTCTTATCGAGAAGGCCTATGCCAAGGCGCATGGTGACTATGCGGCGCTGGCAGGGGGCTGGATTGGAGAGGGTCTGGAGGATCTTTCTGGTGGGGTGACGATGGAATTGTTCACATCAGACATCCTTGACCTGGACGTGTTTTGGGATTCGGTCCTTTCCCAAGTCAATCAGGAGTTCTTACTTGGTGCTTCGACGGGTTTCTTGGATGGTGGGTATGGCGAGCGTGATGGCATATCAGAGGGCCATGCTTACATTGTTGTGGCAGCCCATACTCTGAAGTCGGGTCAGCGGTTACTGAAGCTTCGGAATCCATGGGCCCACGTACGAAAGGGCATCTGGGAAGGTGCGTGGAGCGACGGCTCTAAGGAGTGGACACCTGAAATCCAGAAGGAACTCGACCATCAGTTCGGCAGCGACTCGGTCTTCTGGATCTCGTTGGATGACTTTATGCGCAAATACTCTCACCTCGACCGCACCAGGCTCTTTCGGGAACCGGATTGGCGGTGCATCCAGAGCTGGATCAGTGTCAATGTGCCATGGATAGCATGCTACCGCGAGCGATTTCGTGTTGCCCTGACCCAGGAGTCCCCAGTTGTTGTCGCCGTCTCACAACTCGACAGACGTTATTTCAACGGCCTGCATGGTCAATATTCCTTCCATCTTGAATTCCGTATAGACCAAGACGGAAGCGGAAGAGTTCGGCGACGTATCGTACAGTCTCACGGAAACTATCTGATGGCACGTTCGGCTGCCGCAGAGCTTCCGGATCTGATGCCCGGTACCTATATTGTGTGCGTCCGAGTCTCTGCTGAGAGAGACAACTCGCTGGAGTCGGTTGACGAAGTGATAAAGCAAGAGTGCAAAGCCAGGACAGAGAATCCTAAGCTGGCACAGGTAGGGTTTGCTTACGACGTAGCCCATAGCAAGGCTCAACACTACATCACCGAATTCAACCGTTTAGATAAGAAAAGAAAACAAGAGTCAGCATCGAGATGCCGTAAAAGGACTCGGCGTCTAGCTTGGAAGAAGCGCCACACCAGAGGTGAAATTCTCAAGACGCAGAAGCGAAAAGATGACGCGAAGAGAAGAATCGACCAAGGACCATCCGCTATGAGAACTGTAGTTGAGTCAAGGAAGGACATCGAGGGTGACGTACGAAGAACTGAAGGGGCAAGCGAAACCGTCACCGTTCGACATGTCGACACAGACAATGTCAAAATTATCTTACCCTGCAGGGGACGAATTGATAGCTGCAATAGTGAGCCTAGAGAGCCCACGGGAGAAGATAAGTCTATCAGAAAGATGCCGACGACGAACTGGTCAGCCGGGATGAGTAAAAACCATGAGGCTAGCGATTCTTCAGATTCTCCGACCGATAATTGGGAACAGCTTTACAGCAGCGACAACACTACCCATTCTATAGGAGAGGAACTCAACAATGCACTGCGTCGAAGGACAAGGTGCAGTCACATCATCGGCAGGGACACAGAAGCCAACAGTACGGAGAGCGAGGACTCGGATGGAGGTTCAGTACGGACCCCTTGGGATGCTGTGTGTTGTCTAGGTATTCGAGTCTACTCCAAAGACGAAAACCTCACCCTCGAGACCATTTTGGGCGATGATTAGGTGACACTAGTGGCATAATTAGCAGAGTGAGAGCGCGAGGAGTGGCCTGATGACAGACGATGATGTCTTAGTCGTGTGTTGATGCTGTGCACGGAACGCGGTCGGCATTGCGCCTATTGACACCAACAGCAAAATCGCTGTGGGTTTGGACACGTGGTTGTGATGCAGCTGTTGAGACGGATTATTGGGTGCAGCGCTCAGTAGAGGATGAGAGCCACGAAGGGGTGGGGATGGAGAGTCGGGTCTATTGTTGGAGAGGAGGTTTGAAATATGAGAAGGCTAGCGCGTCATTGGGGGTTCGCGTGGCAGAGTGACCAACTTCCCCGCCGACACAGCGCATTGGTCCATTGGATCAGTACTCCTGACAAGATGCGACAAGATAAGCCGATAATGTCCGTCTGTCAATTGAACTAGTATTTCCAATTGAGAAAAATCGGTTTAATAACGACTTGCCGCGTGAACTCGTATCTAATGATTGAAGTACAAGCTTAAGACCGATGATTAGTCTTCCTTATTGTCCTCAGGCAGGCACGAATAACACTACTAGTGCCTCAACAGGCTTTGCTTGGAAACATTTTGAATGTTTTGAAACAATGAGAGGAGTAAATATCAACCTCCCATCTTCAAGCTCTATTTCGTAAAAACAACCCCTTGTTTCAGTTGTTAATCTCAATATCAACATATCGATCCAAAAGTAAACAATCTCCATATCCAACTTTCCTCGCAGCGTGTGTCCCTTATCACAAGCAGATTCCCCATGCTAACTTCAGGGTAGCTTCATGCTAATGTAAGGGTACCCCACAATTGACAACGCAGATTGTTAATCCGACACAAAATGTGAGACAAGCAACAGCTGCCTTGGTTGGCAGAAGTAAGTGGATAGACGAAGGACTCTGGCCCGTGATGGTTTAACGTGAACCCGAATAGCACAAATACCAAACCAACAGGTGTTGATGCGTAGATTCGGTGACCTGACAAGCAACGCTTTCTAAGATGATCAGCTTTGAGGGGCTTGAATCCTATCAGAGGGCGTAAAGCGCAATGCGACGGGCGAGTATCAGAGAGAAGTAGATATCGTCGCGTTGGCTCGGTGCAGTTCTCTTCCTGGGTAGCGTCTTTGCTACTTCCACGTCATAGGCCGGGCTGGATTCTCACGGAGACGAGAAGGAGGACTAGAACGTGCACCAAGATTCAGAAGCTGTAGTCCTTCTTTATAAGTAGGTGACGACATACAACCTGATGGGGATCGAACCCTCAAGCTACTTCCATCATGGTGTGGGGATTCTTATTACAGTTCCGCACTTGGCTCGCACCCCTTAGGCTCCATAGACGAGTCTCCATAGATCTCCATGGAATATTGCATGCTGAAACCGTTGGTCCTGCACCTTCTCTCGAGGACGCGTAGAGCTTGGCTACTGAAGCTGCCTATTGCCATGTTACCGCGTAAAATGAAGCTGGATGGAACATCATAGTATATTACCCTCTCATATTCCAGGCCATTTACGGTCCATAGAGACAAAAATAGCCCGTTAGAATAGCGCCTTACTCAACTACAAAGATCACCCGGGAGTATCTATAACGGCCAAGACAAATAAATTCTGCAACTACCCAGACTCAAAAGATTATGTCACAGAAGTCGAAGAGGCGTGGATAATTTTGCCATGCGATTATGTCAATCACGCTGACCTTGATAAACTACGCAATCATCCTATCGTTCTGAGCATCTAGACGAAAGGTGCCACCAGGGTCTGCTGATAGGGACATGGCACTCAGCGCAGTGGGGGTTTGTGCAACACCTGGCTTCACGTAATGCTGGCTCTCATCGCTGGAATGGTGAGAGAATGTGAAGTGGTTAGAGTTGGTGGTGAGGTGCTCCTCGATTGTAGCTTCCACACCTTGAATATTGGAACACACGAAATCGATGGCCCTTCCATAGAGGCTTCATAGGGATATCTGGGCTGTCTAGAAAGGAGAGTGTATAATCCTTCGCCCACTGGTATATCTCTGCGCCTCGACCTTTTGTTCTCGTCGCTCGACCGGCTTGATAGATGACGTTAATGTCTCCTGCATTGACTACTTCTGGTCCGACTGGCCGCTGGAGGATATAGCCTAGGGCCTCTTCACCTTGTCTGTAGAACTTCGTGCCGTATGTCAGATGCTCTGCTTGTCTGCCCACCTGGAATATGTGATAACCCGGGATCGGGTGTCGTCGTCTTCCCAGTAGTGCACTGGTCTGAAAGCCTGATACCCGCAATATCCCCTTGTCTCGGTTCTCCGTCCTTCGCTTTTATCCATGGCTCTTGCAGCATGGCTATGCCATAGTTACCCTCGTGCGCAAAAGCTATTGCGATATCGTTCGAATCTAGGTAGTGTCCAACGTTGCCTGGACGATCCAGATCGCGTCGTGTGATCCAAGCCGCCGGGCCCGTTCTACTGGCATGCAGTTGGTGTGGTTCTCCGGCTACGCATAGCCAGGACATGGTCAGTGTAGCGTTGGTGAGCGCTTGGAATTTCATGGGGGCTTTCACTGTATCTTCAGATACTCGGACAGCCCGTATCTTCGCACTTCGGCTCGTTCGGGCTTCGTAAGGCCTCGGTACGTGCCATACGAGGTCTCTCGTGGACGTGCCTAGCATTTTGGGTCGTTAGCGTGGTATGAGTCAGCTCAGTTGGCGCACTGCGCGTGCTAGTCAGACATGTAGACCTCGCTGCCATGTCCTGACTTCCTGCACGAGAGGCAGCGTGACATTCTGCTGCATTCTGCAAAGTGGTGAAAGTCTCAGTAGCTGTCGCACTGCCGAGGCTGGCACCGCGAGCTAGGACATGCTAGCTGGCTGGTTCCGAAAGGCCTCAAGCGTCTTCCGCGCCTGTTCTCGAAGGAGACGATCATGTCTCCGAACGCCGTATTGTGGTGCTCGTCAGTGTAGCTGTCTCGAATGTTCTTGTTGGTATGAACTTGACGGGCTTTATGCCTGCCTGCGTTTTGATTCCGCATCCATTGCAGCGCTGGTGAGGTCTTCCCATGTACCATTTGCCCTCTACATTCGCGACGGGATGTCCTCACTAAGTGCATACGCCAGCGGATGGACGATTCGACATTAGTGGCTTTCAGACTGCCTATAACTTCGCATCCCGCATTCAGGATCAATGCTCGAGTCTTCTTTCACTCGAGCCAAGCCACGGAGCTTCATGGTTTGCTTGACAGTATCCTAGCTAGCCTGACTCGAATTAGTACCAGAGAATGTGAAAGAAATAGAAAAGAAAAGAAATGCTACAGTAATGCGTTACATAGGGGGAACATACAATGATTTTGTTGAGATGGTCATCCGGCTGACCCTTGACAGATTCGTTGGCGATAGTTAGCATCGCGAAGCAGCGACAATTCATCCGCTCCGCTGAACTGGTTGCCTGTATGATGAGAGTTCATCTTTTTCTTATATACTTCACGTATCTTGGTCATATCCCCCTCAAGCTGCGACTGTGCATTTGGGATACTTCACGGGAGCCAGGTGTAACTTCCATCCTGTTTCGACTACCATCTGACGAAACATCATGCCTGTGCAACCTCTACCACGTCCGCTGCTGCATTTTCCCCTCGAACTTTATCTGTTACTGTTACCTTGGGACCAACGGTTGGACCTTCTCTTACGCAAACTCTGAAACGTATCAATAGCGTCAAACCTCCTGTTAACTCCGTACTGCGGTACCAACAATGTCACGCCAAAACTCTTTCGTTACCGAATGCCATCGGGACTTTGACATCGCCTATACTACCCGAGACACCTGAGTCTAGCTTTAAGCTGAATGCCGGCAATCCTCTATTCGAGACCGTGCTGAACTATGAGCTCGTCCATGTTGAGGGTTAAGTTGTTCATGTCGATATGGTTCTGCGAAATGAGGTCTCCTACAAGCTCACAAAGAACACCAACGATACTCTTGTTGAATACCACAAGAAGATTCACTATGTCGATGCCAAGGCTAATACATACGACTGGACAGACAAGGAGCAGCAGTGTAAGAAGCTTCAAGAAGAATCTGTCCAGGACATCAATGGGTTTGTTTTTTACGCCCACGTCTCTGCTCTCGAGGGTCTTGAGGAGGGGGAAGTGGCGAATTTCTCTGCGGCAAGAGTGAGGAGGCCAAGGACTACATGAGTGCTCCTATGAAGACTTTGGCACCTCCTCCTTCGCGCAATGCCATTGGCGTTGTCCCACAACCTACAACTCCGCATCATGTTGGTGGTGGCCTTGTTGTTGACTCGTGTACGGTGTTTCCTCCATACTCCGACGACTCAAGTTCTATCTTTCCGCCCATGACCCTTTACAATTTGTCGTCTTCTCCCAGCTTCATTCAGCCATTTGGAGACTGTTTCTGTAACAAGCGCCAAGAAATGGCCCCCATCTTCAGCCTGCCCTTCACCAACATGCCAACTCCCACTGAATGCGGTGTTGATGTGGGTATGGGTATGGGATACATGGTCGGTAAGATAGAACCTGCCTGAGATTGCTATTAAGCGATTAAGCGAACACAGCTGACATGCGATGACTGAGATGAGAGACATAGTATGCTACCGCGCAGTGAGAGTTCCGGTACATAGCCTTTCGCACGTTCCCTAGCTTGCTCCTTCCCGGGTGGGAAAGGAATCAGGACTTTCTCTCAGTGAGAGTCTCAGGGAGAACTATGGTGTTGGTTTGATTACAACATGAACATTACAAAATCATAAAGCGAAAAGCCTGCGGATAGTCGAAACTCAGAATTGTTGACGTGAGTCTACTTGCATAAGTAGATCATTCTAGATACAAGAGCCTCGTGCCTTCTTCGGTAATGGCTTCGTGTTTCGACCCTCTCGCGGTCCTATACTACCTGGTACCTTCCCCAATTACTTTCGCGGTATGCCGGAAACTCACCGAACGGCTTGGAATCTTTCGCAAGCCGGACACTTCCTCCATTCTTCAATGTCCAAATCAGTTCCATCACCATACAGACCAGGATCAGTTCTCTTCTTGCTCGAGGTGCGGTCCAAATGCGACACTGCTGCACCCAAGATAACTCGTTTACCAAGCATAGGTCCGGGACCGTCGACGAGAATCCTTTTTGCATTGATGAAGGTGTGGTCTGTTCTGTCTTCATCCCCATGGTAGGCATCATCCCATTGCTGCCATTGTGCACCACCTTCTGCTGTATTACCGCTACCAAACGATATAAGCTTCAGGCAGTAAGAGTCTGACCGGCCCTTCTGATCCCCAATCTTCACTTTCTTTTTCAATGCCTGCTCTGCGGGAGCAAAGAACCCTCTGATAGCATCGTAGGTAACGTTGGCAATCATGTCAGGGAGAAAGTTCACCGTGTAAAATGCCTGTGATGTCTGTTCATTACTTGCTTGAAAAGCAGATACAGACTGTAATTTGAATTGTGCGGCGAGCGCCACAGACTTCGAGTATGGGAGTAAAGATCTTTTGTCGAAAATCTCATCCTTCCGTTTCAAAAACTCCCCGAGTGACCAGCCTTCTTGAGATTTCGCAATGGTGGCTACTAGGAAGGGGGATAGTTCATCCTTTACCTTACCGATTTGTGCGTCGGGGTTCTGTCGTGAAAATTTGATGATCTTATCGATCTCGTCGTCGATTGTTGCAAGAAAGTTGCGCTGTGTGAAAGCAGTATGCACAAAACCTCTCCTATTCCAAGAGTCGTAGATCTTGTTCAGGCTTTTTGCATACATCATGTCCTTATAAACACCAAGCTTTGTGTCTTGACTGTCGCTCGGTCGATCGTGAAGGATACACCGAACTTTGACTTCGGATCCATGAATCATCTGAAGTTCAGACCAATGTTCCAGACATCTTATCTGAGCATCGCAAGCTAGCCTACTCAGACAACTCTCAGGCAATACCCAGACTTCATAGCTATAGTTGGTGGAAGCCTCGCCTGATTCCTCCCATTCGCTGTAAACCTGACAGGATTGGGTATGCCCTTGAGCTTTGAAATGGGTTGGTGTTGAGTCATATGGAGGTGGTGGCCTACTTTCATGGGTTTGACCGGAATTCAAGAGCGAACGGGATTTGAACCATGAACGGATGCCCATGATGATGAGTACTCTTGAGATTGCGTTAAGATGTGGTAAAAAGGATGAATGTGAATTAAGATCGTAAGAGGACGCGGCACCGGCTAGGCTTTATAGTGCAAATACTTGCTCCACACAGAGACCAACCGAATCAGGAGGCCACAAAGTGTTTCCGCCTTGAAAAAAGCCTAGGCGGCTATGCTTCATCACCCTACAGCAAAACGAGGCGTGATGTTAACTGTTGCCTGCCTTCAGCATAGTTTTAATTGCCTGGCACGTTTCCAACGCTGTTGACACTATCCACCATGTGCAGTTCTAGTCCACAGACTGGTGAAATGGCATCGACTAGAAGGGTACGGACCATCCCTTTCGCCAACACAGGCCCCTCGGTGGTAACTACAAGAGCATATCCTGCCTTGGTTTCATTATACGGCATTGACTGTAATTGTTAGCATCCCAGAAGGGCTGCGTCAGCACTGTGCTCGATACGGCATAGGTTAGGCAGGAACCACGGTTAGGCTACTTGGCTAAATATTCTGGTTATACAATAACCAATCTTGGTAAATGCTACCTAATGACTTTGGCGATTCATTGTTGGGGTGCGGGTGATGTTACTTCTCGTTTCTGGGACTTGGCGCCAAGCTGTGGTTATGCCGCCTCTCCCAAAGGCGATTAGACTGGACTTCCCAAGGGGGAGTGTTCAATTGTGTGTGGAAATTATATATTTGTTGGCTTAGGTTAAGTCACAAGATTTTACCCAGTGGTCTTTCTTTGTTCATGGCCTAGCTCACGGCCCAGGCGCCCTTGTCAACAGTCTTACTTATGGGCATGCTTGCTACAAATTATTTTTACAAGCACCTATCGAAGGAGTTGATGTCTCCTGCATATGACTCTAATACAGATTGTGGGTGCTAACTATCTATTGGCTCAGAGTACCCCTCCACTATATTAAGGGCTCGAAGGTATCTAGAAAAAGACAGAGATTCCACGACCCTTACGAAAACCATCAACCGGTGGTATCCTTTATCGGACCACCATGTTATAAAGAAGAGGAAACCCTGTGCCTGATCTGAGATAGTGGAAGTCTCTTTAAACACAGGTGCAAAATTTCGAAGATGTGGGTGTTCTGCAGGGATTTGACATGGTACCTTGTGTTTCAAGCATGATTCGTTACGTCGAGATTCATACTAAGGCAAAGTACGACGGGACGATAGCAGATGACGATACGGGTTCCTGGGTGGTGCCCCTCCTCGCGAGATGCATCACTAACAGCACTTCTAAAGTGAGTCGCTAGAGGGTCATCCTATCAAGTGTATCTCTGGAAGAGTTTGAAAGGTTCGTTTTGAGGCATATTTAAAGGGAGGGAAGTTCAAATTCGACAAGAACCAAATTCACAAGACAGACTGGCCTAATAAAGAGAGCTGGCACGAGTGGATGCAAGAGACAATGAATGCTTTGTGGGTTCGGTCAAGGTCACGCGTCCTCCTACTGAATTCCGTGACTTGTGTCCAGTCATTTAATATTCGTTGTCTAAAGTCTTTTAAGCGCTGTCAATCCTGTCCACTGCCTCATTCTTTCTTTATCTCCACGAACACCATCTCAAACTTCGGTATGTACAAGAAACTATTTTGGCTATTTTGGATTTTCTTTTCCAAGCGCAAGCTCTGAAGTATACAGACATGAACAACAGAATAACAATCGCAGGTTGTGAACCCAAATGCCATTTAAGGTCCGGTCTCAGGGTATATATCATGACATAAAGCTAGCATCACAATGATTACCGGCAGAGCGCATCCTACTCCAAAAGGTTAGTTGTCAAACACTTCCTCGCCAACATAACCGCACAAGATGACAGACTTCAGAGCGAAGATCACCGATAGGCACGATCGTGCCCCAAAGGGCGTCTACAAGGCCGCCCCCAAGATCACTCAGCGAAGCTGTCTCGAATGTTCTTGTTGGCATGAACTTGGTGGGCTTCATGCCTGCCTGCCTGCATTTTGATTTCAGCATCCATTGCAGCGCTGGTGAGGTCTCCCCATGTGCCATTTGCCCTCTACATTCGCGACGGGATGTCCTCACTAAGTGCATATGCCAGCGGATGAACGATACGACTTTGGTGGCCCCTAGATCGCCTATAATCTTATTTCCAGCGCTCATGATCAATGCTGGAGTCTCAGCGTTGGCTGCTTTGACTGCCTTACGAGTCTTCGTCACAATGGCGTGCGGACTCATTCAGAATGTGATACCGTACACTTCTGTGATCAGATACTTGACGGTGAATGCGTTTTTGCTCCCAGTAGGAAAACTCTCGACAGAACAGAACGTGGCCGTCGGGGGTTTTTTTGGGCTCCTGGGGTGAATGACTTAACCATGTCGCTGTAGTTATTCGTTCAATTGGGCCGTAGGCGCAGTGGCTTCTCGATGAGCTTTCAGGCGTTGCCGAGTGTGTTGTTCCAGTAGTGAATTACCTCGCTGTCGGTCGTCGATGAAAGACGGTGTGGCTTATTCGGTGACTGGGCAGAGTACATGGATGATGCCGAGTAACTACTGATTGGCTGATTCACAGACAAGGATCCAAATTAGTATAGCGCATTATCTTTTTGAGCCCATATCAAATTACTCATTGACCAATTCGGAAGATTATACGGCCATTGTGCAGGTCCTCTCTTTTTGTCGTCATGGGGAAATGCTTGCAAGACCTATGATAAATACGATATGAATCAATTGCATATTAGCGCTATCCGTTGGAGGATGTAGGTGTCCGTATTTCTGTCGCAGCATCTTTTGTGCGTCGTGTGATGTCCTGTCTTCGCTTGTCGGTGTCACCAATTGTCTCGATCGTTCTGACGTCGAAAGGGGGTGTCATCATGCTGCACTCAATCTCGGCTCCTCTGGATTCTCCGTAGCGGCAAGCTAACTAGCCTCCGCGCCTGTAGGTTAGGTGCCAACTGTTCACCTACGAAGCTTTGTAAACGAATCTGATGATATGTTGATCAACAATTATTCTCAAACAATGCCTATAAGTGGCAAAATATAGGGAGGGTGCTCCAGTCACGTACCGTCTCCGGTGGTGATGGTATATCCGTCAGTATTTAGATAGGCTGTATGCATATTAAGTAGCAAGGCAAACAGCAGATGACTACAAACATAGGTACAAGCAAACCCGACTAATATTAAGGTAAACAGAATGCCGGTCTATAGTGTAGAAGCTGAAACTTTGGGGCCACAGACCGTACAAAAGGAAGGAGGCACACTTAACAGCCGCTGCGGCATGGTCGTGGCATCGAGCCTCGCTAAGCACGGCCCTCGTCCTTGACCAAACCAGATGATATCTGATGTATCTGTAGAGTGGTTTCTTGTACAGGCAGTGGATGTTCTCTAGCCCTGGAACTATGATACATGACGTCATCCAGATCGCTATCAGGGTTTGGGCCAGCCGACAGCTGGAAAATGCATCCAGCGACCTCTCAACACGGTTTCGCGAGCTGGTGGGGTTGGGAAATAGTTAGTATTTAGAGTTGCGGGAGCATCAATCTGTGTGTCTAGTGTACAAGATTGGCCTCGAATCATGGGCCATTAAACCATTATTTCTTCGGGGTTCACGGCACGAGCGAGAACAATACGTATATATGCAGTCCATGGCACGCTTGGCCGAGGTAGATCTTCCATAGTTCCGATTAGGCGGAGGGCCTTGAAAACAGTTGCTAGGATACAAAAGCTTCCAACTCCAGCGAACCAAGACCAACATGCTCTTTTGCTTTCCGCCCAACAACTGCCAGCAGAGGTAGAACATCATAAATATCATTCAGCTTGTTAATATCGACGCTCATACTGGTTCTAGTCCGGCAGCCTTTTTTTTTCTTTTTTTTTCTTTTCTTTTTTT